GTTGTGATCAGGAGTGCTTCCTGTTTTTTCCAGTCCTTTTAGATTGTCTTAATAATAATCCACCAAGAATAGTCCTGTTTTACAGATACAGTTAATTGAGATGACCTGTAGAAAACAACATACAGATTTAAATGGAATTCCTCTATAATTTACTGCCCTTAGACTGTTCACTAAACCCAAATTATTTACACTGCTCTGAGTCTGCACTGGACCACTATAATGGCACTGCAGGGAAGCCTACTGTAACTCATTTCAGTCTCATTCTGACTGATAAATATGTGTAAGGGCACAGAACAGATGAAAAACCTCTGACCCACGGTTCAAATACAAATGTTGGATCAGGAGGATCTCACATTTTTTATATACAAGTTGTTGGTTTTCATTCCTGAGTTTTAATGACAACGTTGTGCTTTACCTGCTAATTAACAAACAAGTTGGTGAAAAGGTCAGGTAAAACAAATGACTCGTCTGTATGGAATTTAATTTTAAAAGGCACTGTGCTCCACCCTGCATACTCAGCTGGAATCGATCCATGAGTGTTTTAACCTCGTTTGGCCTACAATTAGAATGATTCATCAGTCAGTTTCATTTCCTGGAAACCATCTGACCTTGCAGCATTTTAATGTGTTCGCTCGACGGTAGGCGGGTACTTTTTTATTTAATCAGTCGCTGCTATTTGGTCGTGATGTATGTAATGTAAATATATATGAAGCTTTTTCCAAATCTGTAGGAAGAAGGGCAATAACAAAATTGCAAAATTCACCAAACATTCTCTTTGTTCCGACTTTAAATCCTCGATCTCGGGAATCGTTGCCAACACAGAATGTATGGCTCTTTGCTGATTGGCTGGTGCATGGTCTAAAACTTTCGGGGTTCTTGCTAAACCGTCTAGAGCAGGGGTGTTAAACTCAAACTCAGAAGGATGAAATTAAAAACTGGGACTAAGTCATGAGCCAAACTAAATGTTCATTGAAAATTTTCAATAACATCTGGATGTTTTCTCTTTCTCTTTCGATGTCTTATCTTTCAAGATATTTAATGTTAAACCTTTTCTAATTAAAATACATTTTTAATAATAATTTTGCTTAAACTTTGAATCCAGAACAAGCACAAGATAAAACAATATAAATAAATAATAATAATAAATAAAATTTTAAATAAATGATGTTTCTACAGCTGATCCGTAGCCGGCGGGGCAGCTCTAATACATATTTGATATGATCTCACAGGCCAAATATAATTATATCGTGGGCCCAATTTGGCTCCTGGACCTGAGTTTGACATGTCCAGTCTAGTGTATTCCGATTCCTGACGTAATCGCTGAAGAGAAATGAAATCGAGAGGAGGCACTAGGTGGCGCCATCCTGGCTAGCCAACAGTAGCACTTGTGTTCAGAAAATAAACAGCAAGAAGCACTTTAGTGTGATTTCCTACACCAGAACTCTACAATATGTAGTGGCTCTGGTGATCGTTAATGTAGGAGCTCCCCAGGGTACAGCCCCGTCTCTGTTCCTGTTCACTTTGTACACCTCTGAATTCATGACTTATATTCTAACCAGTAAGTAATACTGTCCCTGTGTGACTGCGTGTCCTCGTGTTCATGAAACTTGTCCATTGCCTTTTGCAAGTTACATATGCCCTCATGTACTAAAGCATCTTTTTTATATTTTTGTCAAACACCCTGCAAGCAAAGCAAAAGGCCACATTTTTGTTGAATACTCCAGCCAGCTGAAAGTTTTAAACCAAATTTTCGGAAAGGCTCTCTTTTGTGTGCCAAATTGGATGAGGAGATATTGCTTGAGGTCCAGATGTCTTGGTCCACTGTCCATGTCTTCTAAACCATATTCAGCTTCTTTTGAGCTTGAACCTGATGTTCTTGGGTGGCTGGGATTCTATTCTATGCTCTCCCTTATTTCCCTGCACTTCATATACCTCTGCTTCTTCTAAAAAACAAAAACTAAACAACAACCCAATTTTTCAACAATGAAATCAGTATAATACAATAGAATATACAACACAAACAGCCATTTAATACTATTAATATAATAGTGTGAACATGAATTCCAACACAAAACATTTGTAAATCCTCCATTGAGAAAGGGATTAATGGTTTAAAAAGGCATAGTTGTTCAGTGCATCTTTTGTGTTGTTCTAGGTGTGTCATGTTGCTGTCACCTGCCTGGTGTTTTCATAATGTCATTAGTGTCTTACCTGGATTCTGTCTCTCACTTTACCCTTGATCACTATGTTTTGTTGTGTCAGTGTCTTTCCCATTTTGTGCTGTCACCCAAGAAGGGATAGCAATGTCAGGGTCAGAGGTGTGGAAACATTCATTATGGGCCTGAATGATTACGCTAATATGGCCCCACACTAACATAAAGAAACTGTGAACACTAAGGATGTCCACATGGGGTGACCAGAACTAAAGAAGCAGCTTGGATAAGCTGCCAAACATTTTTGACTTAAATCAACATTTGTCCAGTTGACAAATTGAATATCTCCTTTACCGTAGTCCTAGGTTATAAAAAACTGTATACTGTTCATACAATTACATGATGTATAATTGAAAAGCTTGTTCTCTAACGTGCTTTACTCTCTGTTAGGGGCTGGTTCTGTGTTTTTGTACAGCTCTGCTGTTGCTCTGAGTCACTGTGATCGCACACAGTAATAAACAGCTGAGTCTTCAGGCTGCAGCCTCTGTCCTTGAATAGTCACTGTTCTTGCAGACGTGTCTCTACTCAGGCTGAACTTGTTCTTCAGAGCATTGTTCTGTCTTATACCACTTGTTCCCCACTGATAGAAAATCCACTCCAGTTTGCCCTCTCTCTGTCTGATCCAGCCTGTGGCATAGCTGTCGTCAGTGAGAGAGTAACCAGAGACCCGACAGCTGATGGTCAGAGTCTGAGCAGGCTGCAGCAGCACTGAGCCTGGCTGGAGGAGCTCCACACAGTCCACTGTACCTGTGGAAAGACAACATCATCATCACACTCATTCTCCTACAGGGGGCGCTGCTGTGAAGGTCAGGAAGTGTTCTCACAGGAAGCAGCTGCCAGCAGCAGGAGCACAGCCACAGACAACATGACTCAAGTGTGTGTGTCCCTCTCTCCACTCACCTTATATCACTCTGGGATTTGCATATGCATAAATACACCAGTACAGATTTTACTACAGGGTCAGGACATGTGACATCAGCTGCCCTCCCCTATGAGCCATCTCAGATTTGGCTGAAGAAAAAATCAAAAAATGTCTAAAATTATCAAATGAAAGAATCTCAAATTTTGGCTCAATCCCTTGAGTCATTCCTGAGTTATGGCCCATTGAAATTTTGGGGCCATGCTCAATTTTTCAGAAGCCTTAATTTATAAGTATGTTTGAGAAACCATAACTTAATAAAAAAAATAGAGCTAGTAAGCTGAAAATGTTTATTATTGTAGATTCTTGGTCATAAATTCTGAATCTGTTGCAAGATCAAGCAGATATTCACAAACTAACTGTTGAACCTGAATACATTTGAGAGAATGACCATTTCTGACAACAATCTCACACTTTTCTGAGCTTTCATGTGGATGGTGTAGAGCCCTAAATATGGTCACAGACCAAATGTGATCTTTTTGCCCCTTCTTTGGACCCTTGGTTCCCCATGTGGGCACTATTGGATGTTGATTTTTTTTTTTTTTTTTTTAACCAGATAAACTTTTGCATATTCTGATTAGTTGAAAGTAATAAAAACATCTACTATTAACTTCCTTCATTTCAAACGGAATTTTTGAAAATGAGCTCTCACGGGTCATTTTTGGTGGAGCTTAGGTACTTTTCCACCTGCAAGAAAGGTTTAATTACCTTGAATAGACTTAAACACTATTTGCTTGTTATAAGGGAAACAATTAGAGATTATTTGTGGTACATTGCTTGTGATGGTTTTGGTGGCACAGTAAAACGCTCGGCTGCAAGGGCCAGTCTTCAGGCAACTGACAGCAATCAAATAATGACCACACTCCGGATGTTTGAGCAGGTTTCACAAAACATAAACAATATAAAGTTTTCTATACAAGCCCTAAATACATTACAAACCATAAACTTACTTTCAAACTAAAAGGTGCTATAGCAAGGCAAAGGCTCGAATACCAAAGACATGAATGGTACTAGATCATACCACAGTTTTATTCCGGTGTCAAATGGTAAATTAGAAATGAGGAGAATATCTCAAGATCATATATGTACTGAAGTGTCAGTTTCTGAAATACAAAATGAGATTATGCCAGGACCATAAAAAGTACACTTAGAGCTACTAAAAGAGGTGTTACTAGTGGTAATTGTGTAGGACAACTCTTGGTCAGTCCTCTTTCTCTGCCAGAGGGACTGTGGAACTGCTTACCAAACCAATAGCAACAAATTTAAAAGTCAATTAAAATTTATGTATGTATTATTGTATGTATTTTATGTT